TGTGTGTGTGTGTTGTGTTCACGTAGCTGTGTTCATGTATATGTGCAGGTCAGGGGTTAATCTCACTTGTCCTTTAACAGGTCTCTCTCTCTCTATATATATATATTATATATATATATATGATGCACTGAGCAAACACAATTTCACTGCTTCTGAGAGTGTATAAGGTGTGAATAAGGTTCCACAGCTATGCCAATAACTTAATAGTTTATTAGTCAGTCAACAATATTACAAATATTTAAAAATTACTTAATATAAATAGTTGGCAGCAAACTATTCCATTACAGAGTTAAATTACCAGTACAACAGACAGACTGGAGATTTAGACACCTGGAAGGTAACAATAAAATAAACTAAATTATTTAACAAAAATTTTAAGCTGAAGGCGTTTTATACCTAGTGTCCATAAAAGCATGGGTTCTCTTTTTATTTAGAAAAAAATAAAAAACGGCTTTAACACCCCATTAGGAATATAAAATAAAATCAACTGAAAATATTAATTTGCATATCAAAGAACCATTTATAGTTACAATCCAAACACTCCATAAACCACTTGTGCGATTCTATACAGAAACTGGGAATTAGAAACTAGTTGCTTTAATATTACAAAGATTTCAGCTCCAAAAATAATTCAACATAAAATAAACTTTAGCAATTAGTGTCATAAAATTATATATTTTCACATAAAAATACAAAATAATATTAATGACAAGAATATGAAAAATTATTCCAAGTATTTTACTACTATTAAAATAAAATAAAACCCAAAAAAACAAAATAGAAATATGCATGAAAAAAGTCTCTCCTTTTGTTAGCAAAACACTATCCAAAATAACTACAATCATTTACATCAGTACAAAGATTTCTGGGTTTAAAAAATAGTTGCAATGACAAAAGGGGCATCTTTTCTGACAGTAAAAAATGACACTGTGGATAAAGTCTGCAAAATATGCAATGAAAAAAATAAATTTGCATTAAAAAGGTTTACACTGTATCTTTATACAAACATTAGAAACAGTATTGCACATCACAACACAGAATCGAGGTTAGTCAGCCTTCCAAAGTGTGTTATATTCAAGTTTTGCGGCATCTGTGAGGAGAGGCTCGTGCAGCCAGATGCAACAGGGATAAAATATCAAGTGTTTTCCATACACAAATATATAAATGCTAAATGTCTCCTTCTTAACAAAAAATGTGGATTTTTAAAGTATTTTTTCCTCCACAGTCATTCATACTTTTGGGCAGCAATATGAACATTTAGGGAACACAAATGAAGAAGCTTTGAAAATACAAAAATACAATCAAAATTAATAATTTTCTACAAAAATAGTAAAATAAATATGATCTGTAAATTAAAAAAAACCTCTAATACAGTGTTTAACAGTTAGAAAATAAGAATGTAGTACATAAAAGGAAAAATAATCCCCAAACAGAAAAAGAAACAAATTAGAGGTAGGGGTGAGGCAGGGAGGAACAAAATATTAGACCAATAAGCTCTGTCCTAACAGAAACGAAGGTGACACCAACCAGCATTTCTGTCACATTTACCCTGGTGGGAAAGGGTGTCCATTTCATTTCCCTTCATTTCAAATTTTAATTTCTGTTTAAGAAGGGAAAATGATTTTCAGCATCTCCAATTATTTCATAATATAATTTATTTTAGAGTTCATTATTTAATACATGAAAAGGCTCTTCAATTTTAAACATTAAGCAGAAATTATGAAAATAAAGTTTAAAAATCTGCGAAATTAAATATCTAAATAATTAACATTGCAAAACTACTGATTTCTTTTCTAAATTCCAAAAATTGAGGTATAGCAAAGGAGATGTCATCAGTCAAAAAAAGTGTGCCATAAAATAGCTGACTGTTGGAAAAATCTCTCACAGAGATATAAAAATAGTGCATAACAAATGTCAAAATGGATCAAGGTTTGGCAGGGTGAGGGTAGAAAAGAATGCTCCAGAAACTCTGGAGGGTCATGGGGAGTAACAAGTAGGGACACTGACAAATAAATTAGTAAAGAGCTCCTCTGAAAACAGCGTCAACTTCAAACATTAAAAACTTGAGCCACAACCACAATAAAACAGCAGAGTTAGACATGAACCACGTATTTTTACAGTACAAAAAAGCATACCATTGACAACCAATGTTGAGATCAGCACTTTGCTCATGTGAAGGATTGTCCCAAGGGTTGGCTGCATAGGCCGTACCCTTGTAATGTTCTCTCTTTAGAGTCAAAAATCTTAGTTCTGCATTAAAAACAAAACAAAACCAAAACCAAAAACAAAAACATTTACCATTGTGGGGTGCTTTGCTTCCATTGCAGAGTAATTCCTACATTATCAACACAGGGCTAGCTGCGGTTAGGATGCTCTAGAGAGGAAAACCACCATGAACGATGGATGTTCTAGGTCAGAACTGTGCATGTTTCCACGCAACTCCCTCAATAAAGAAAAAAGAAAAAAAAAAAAAAACTGCAAGCAAAGTCATTACTGAAATTCCTTCATCAAAGTTTAAAAAAAGCAATTCTTAACCATTAAGAATAACAACCTCCATGCAACAGTGACCCCAGTGTAGACAGAAGACCCCATATACATAGGTCAGACATGTAAGCAAATTTAAGCCAGATTTCACCATTGTCTTAAAGGTAAATTTTATGCAACTAGCCATCTGTTATATTTTCCCATCTCCATTTTGACTTCACTAAAGTTCTGTGTTCTTCTATAAAACCCTCTTTTAAAGTATGGGCTTCTTATGGGTCTCACATTCGGTGACTGGTTAGCAGTGTGCTGGCCATCTTTGGTTTTTAAAGGATATCTTAACCATGAACTATCAAAGGGGCTAAAATCAACTTTCTTTAAAATTCCTGTGTTTTCTTTTATTCAATCTTTTATCTATACTATATCACTGCACATGAATTAGAACCGCACATCACAAAATTGCACAGGGATTACAAATATTACATCCAGTCTGCATAAAATCGAATTCCACTACTGACCAGATCACAAAATGGCTGCACTCTCTAATCTAAAACTAATTTGCATATTGTACACATGTAGGACAACATTTTTTAACTTGAAGTCACAATAATGCATGCAAGTTTGCTTTTTGTAAAGAAACAAATTTTATAATTTGTCCATGCTATCTAGATTCAAGAGAGCTTTTTGAACATTTGCAATACCTCACCTCATTAGTTAATGTCCAGTGCATGCATATGGTGGACACAGGTTAAGTAAACATGCATTGTTTCACATTCTAAACTATGGCAGTTTCGGCCATATTGTGCTGCCTGCATTTCATCCGCAATGCAGTGTGTCTCTAACTTTTTCAATCCCGTATTAATAGGTGACATTTACACATAACACCTATATAGCAGCAAAGCTAATACAGCTTGTGATTAAAAATGTTTAAAAATAGCTAATAAATCAGATTATCTTGAGGTATTATTTCTTGCAAGTCAAAATGGAGAGCAACAAAATCAACCCTAATTTTTAGTTTATGTACACACTGAAAACAGCAACAATAAAAATAAGCATTTGTAGCAGACATATTCCATCTTCACTATTATTTTGCTACCTTTGGTAAAGTACTGGGGCAGATCTTGAAGTTAAAAACCCATGTTAAGAAATAAGTGCACGCTTCACCCACTATATAGCAGCAGACTGTGTTGCCCCTACGCAAAACATTCTCATATCTAATTTTAACTTTACATATAAAAATAACTTGGAGAAAATACAAAAAAACATTTTATTTTAACATGAAAATATCACAAAAATTAGTAAGCCTGAGATGTAGGGTTTTGGTGAAAAACAAGAGGCTTGTAGTGTTTTGGCTGCTGATAACGATGCATGTATTGAGAGCTGGGTGAGAAGCAGAAGAATGCACTTATTTCTTCTGCAGGTCAGTATCTTCAGCACAGTAAGCCACATGCACCCTTTCTTTCCTTGTTAGACAGAGGCCAGTTTATATATATACTTAATTCCAGCGGAAGTGGATCTGACGTGGGCGATCAGCACCTTCCTTCACCAATGGCTTATGGAACTCACGTCCTGCACGAGAGTGGATATTTGCCCAACAAAACTCACAGTAATACTGCAGGCAAGTGACATTGGCACAAAAAAAGGGGGCAAATTTTCCACCACATCGTGCGCCCTGGCACTCATCACACATCTGGTCATCCAGCACATATGGCTTTACCTCCACCTAGAAATAGTAAAGGAAAAAAAAAAAAAAAAAAACCTCATTGGAGTCTGCATCGGAAATCAAAATTTGGAATGATTTTAAATGTTTATGGTGTTCTAGAGAAAAGGATGAGAAAATAGCAGTATGTTAGGGACACAGTTTCCCCTGACAGAAGGGTATTGAAAGCCAGTTTGCTTCTGTGTTGACTAGTTTGCATATCATGTTTCATGTTCATAATTGGCTGTGAGCTTAAGTGGTTAAACACTAATTCACTTATTTCAACATGTTTCCTTCAGAGGTCACAAAGTGCAATTTTACTCTATTTTCCAAAGAGGAAAAAAAAAAAAAAACACTTTAAAAACTAAAGATTTAAGACATTCTACTTTCACTTTTGTAACATCTTTGAACACCTGTATGTTAGCATTAATATTTTCAAATTGACAGCAAAACCCATAAGGGACCATCAGTCCCTTATGGAAGTCAAATTTCTTCTCAGATTTTTCTCTCATAAAAATATCATAAGGTGGTGGAACTCAGCAGCCTTCTCTGATGCAGGTCAGAGCTGCACCTTGCTTGCAGTAACTGCTGCAATCAAATCAGAACTGTGGCTAATCTGATCTAGGGCATGTCCAGACTTCTTTATAAACTCTAAAGAAATAAAGGTCCACTGTGAAGGACTGATTCAGCAAATGATGTCAGCTTTGAGTTGGCTCTAAACACCAGACTCCCCTGACCTGTTTCCACATCCACAAGTGAGAATGATAGACTGTGTTGGAGCTGGGACGGTTAAATCACATGTGGAAAGTGTTAAGACCTGGGAATTGAGTTGTGGATCAGTTTCTCGTAACTTATGAACTTCCTAGGCTGATGTCTCCGGCTGACTGGATTGTGTCATTGTTTAAGAATAGTTATAGTTATGTACAATGCACAGATTTCAGTGTGAAACTGGTATGTACATGAGTAGCTTGTTCTCCTATTTTAAATGGTAATCAGAGCTCACAAGTATTCAACAGGATAGCTTCAGCTGTCAGACCCAATCTACACTACTAATGAACTAATGTTTTCAACTTTAGGTTAAATGACTTATGGAAATACATAGTGGCTGAGTTTTAGTTTTTATACATAAAAACTAGCTCTTAACTAGTACTTCCTGTGGATCAACTTCTCTAAGTGCTGGGCACATGTGAAGTTCATTCAGTCCTAAAAATAATCCAGAGACTGACTAAGTAGCATCCCTCCCCACTTGCTAAGTCAGGAAAAGTGGCAGAGAGAGGGATGCTTGCCTGAGATTATAGAGCTAATGCAGACATGGGGCTGCACTCTGTTTTGGGTGCAAAGCTCCTATAAACTGCCCCCCCACAACAATATGATAAACATTTTTGATATAGTTTTAAAATCACATCTATACTTAGTTTTTATGCAATGCCTCAAGTTTAAAGTACATCAAGAAATTTGTATTTCGAGGATATAACACTAGGAGACAAAGGAAGATAAAAGTGAGCCATATTATTAACTCCATATGGTAAAAAAGCACCTGTAAGTATTAAGACACAGATGACTTCCCAATGTATAACTTACACGTTTATCAATATCACCATGCTGAAGCTGAACAAATCGAGCACTGATGGCAGCAATATAGCTCTGCTGATTGGAGAAAGCAACTCGCCCAGCACCTTTTGGGTATTTTAGTTCTGGATCTGTATCAATTCCTGCATAACACACGCCACCATACAGCCGGTCCATGATCATAGCAAGTTCCACTTCAAAAGAAAAGACATTCACATTGAAGGTGAGAAGACAGTAGTAAATCAACAATTACAAATCAAGAGAACACTAACACAAAGCAGCTGTTGCGAGAAAGCATGGAAGCCAGAGCTTTGTACAAGCTGGCAGGCATTCTACTACCCAGGCATTCTACTACCGAGTTACATTGTTAACCTTAAAAAACAAAACAAAACAACAACCCCAAAGCACTTGCTTACTGTAAAGTTATCCTCATTACCTATTCATATTCTTTCTTTTACCTGTATATCCATCTCCTTCAGTTTCTTTATGGAAGGACACTGCTTTGGCAACCTTCCTCTCTCCCATAGCTCAGCTTTCCTCTCATACTCATTTCAACAAGCTTGGGCCTTTTTTTTCCTTCCTTAAGGACAATCCTCTTCTACAAGAGAATCTTGTCCTCTCTGACAGAGCATGCAGGTTGGAAGGCAAACAGTGTGGTGAGGGAGGCTAGACCAGCTCAGTCACCCTGGTGATAGCTTTTGTAGCCAGATTGGCCCCATATCTGTCTGTATAACTCTAAATGATCAGATTACCACCTGTGACTCCACTTTAATTGATCTTTTTAAGATCAACTCCCCCGCCTCCTAAGTCCAGTGCTCAATCTTCTTGCTGGCAGTATTGATCATAGCTAATCTATTACTTTGTCTGGAAATATTTTTCTATATGACTTGAAAGGTATTTTATTCTGCTGATAATTCGCTTCACTGATGAATTCTTAGTCTCACTTCAATGCCAGAACACCTTAAGTTTCAGTCTTTGTACCTTTGCCTACACTTGGGTTTTGGTGGTCCTATTCTATATCATCTATTTAAATACGACCTGTATACCTTTAAGCTCCTGAATTTGCACATCTGAATTTCACACTCATAAAGCAGCTGTCTATCAGACAATTTCTTCTGATACAGAGCAGCTTAAAAAGGACCACACATGAACATATTCTTCCTCTATTTCATGAAACATGATCTGATAAGATTTGCTGACTCAATTGTGTAAGCAACAGAGTTTCTGCCTTTATCCTTTATTTTCACTATACAGATAATCTCATAGACTTGTTTTTCAGAACACAAAAAGAACCCAACCTGCCCACTTCCATCAGTTAGGTCCTCTTTAAAAGCTACTATCATTTTTCATTTGCTTTATGGAAACAAGCTTATCTGTTTGTCTTCAATCACTCCTCTCCATTTATTTCCAAAACACTGGAAATAATTATTTTTTTAAATACTATGCCTGGTCTACAGAGTGAGTGCCAGGATAGGCTCCAAAGCTACACAGAGAAACCCTGTCTCACCCCCTGCCCCCCCAAAAAATACTATTCTAGAAACCACATTGTATAATTGAAATTTCTACTTCAAACTTCTGAGTGGGGCCATGAACTTATATTCATAATAAAACCACAATATTCTTTAATCTGCCCCCACTTTGCCATTTCTCACAGCCATGTACAAGCTATCACCAACCACCCAGCAGCTTAAAGCTAAAAATAGGATTCAACCTTCTATTTTCTGCCTGAGTATTCGAATATCTGTTCACCTGGTTTTCTCCACCACCACTACCAATCACATACAAGAGGCCCATAGCTGGCCTACCATTTACTCACAGCCTCTTCTCTTTCATGAATCATCAGCTTATCTGATATTTCAAAAAAGTCTATGTGATTACGTCTCTCTTGTACTAAGGATTAACATCAATTAGTCTATTAAACTTTCATGATCTAACCTCTATTGATTTTAACCAGTATCTTTTTGTATCTCTCCCACCATTTTATGCTTTATACATTCCCTTCATGAATAAACTCTGCTGCTCTGCACTCAGTACTTCCAAATGTGCTGTTTGCTTTATCTGAAAAACACCCTCCACAATGCTCCTATTGTCCAGCTCAAATATTTTTAAGAAATCACACCATGGCATATTCTAAATATGGACACACACACATTCACATATGTATACACACACACACACACACACACACACTTCTATTTCCAATCACCTTTCTTTGCAGCAGTTATCACATTCTTTAAGCATCTACATGTGTGAAGTTAATTCGTATCTCCCTGACTTGAGGACGGTGCTTTTAGAGACAGAAATCACTTGCACCTTCAGATGATATGATACTACATAGCATGCATATTCAGTAAATATTCACATTTATAATTCCATCCTACTTGACATCCTTCAGATTTTTGGTTCCTAGTTACAGAGGAACAGAACTTTGTAACTGACTCATTTAAAATACTAATTTCAGTTAATAACTCAAAATCAACAAAAAGAGAATACCAATTTTTCTGACTTAGGGATTCTACTCACCAGCTCTTAATGGCCTAGGAACACCTCCAACAAAAATTGTTTTTCGGGGATCCAAAGGCTGAGAACCATCCATGACAAAATCACTATCACTTAAATTCCAAGGACGGATTTGAACCTATGAAGAAAATTATAATTAGTCCTATTCTTTTTACAGTTCAAACATTTTTAATTCAGTCTTAATTTTTTTAAGCTATAATTTTAAAATACTGTTTTGAAAACCTGCTTTTATAGGCCACAGTTCATGTGGTGTTTACTTACAGGTTTGTCCTTGATAGTAGGGCTGGAAACACACAAGTAGAGTTTTCCATCTTCTTCAATGCACGCATCAATGAGTGCTTGAACCGAGCTCTCTTCTTGAAAGAGGAGGAATGCATAGCCTAGAATAACCATAAAATGATGCAGCATATCAAGTTAAGTGACTTTACCTCAATATATGTACTGTTAAAAGATACATAATAGGCTTTATGAATCATTTTGTTTTCCATAGGAGAACACAATATTCCAACACACACACACACACACACACACACACACACACACACACACACACACACACACAGTGAGTGAGTGAGTCAGCTGCACTTTCAGGTTGACTCATATAAATCTATCAAACACTCCCATTTTATAGAAGGAAAAACTGAGGTGCCAGAGATTATATGTAAATTATGACCATAACCTAGAGAATGCAATTAGAATCTCATTAGAGATTATAATATTTGTACAAACACACTCCATATGATGATTTTTTAAGAATTCAATGAACTAGGCTAATGCTTATATAAGGTAAATGCTGCTTGCCACGGCAAAGCTAGGCTCAGGGTCCGAGAGCTCAGTCCTCTGATCTCTCAAGGTAGCTGTGCCAACTGGATATTATCTTATTTATGTTTCCCAACCATGGGAAATACTCAGCTACAGAAATGGTGGATAACACTTGAAAGAACTGAGTTTGGGCAACACTGGTAATGGAGCAAGGGCTACAATTTCACTAAAACAATGATTTACCAGTGTTATCTTTGTTCAGTTTCAGAAAACAAACAGTTCAAAGATTACAGTAACAGTGATGGCAACAATAGCGATGAGGAAAACTACTGTTTCATTATATATGCTTCAACTGCCTCCCTAGGTACTGTGCCTTCTTTTCACATAGGCACATGGATCACATGAAAACCTGTACCTGCTGCTTGGTTCCAATGGAGGGATGGGTCCATGACACCCCTCAGACTGCAAAGGATGCTCTAGTTTTTACAAAACAGATTATAACCCATATACATTGTGTATACTTAGCTTATGTCATCTATTACTTATAATATCTGACATAATGTAAATGTCAGATACACAGTTCTTGGGAAACCAAGTAAGGAAAACAACCAGTGGAAAATAAAGGCTACCCCTGCAACAGTTTTGGCTCGTGTTTTATTGAATCTATCTATGAAAAGAACTTGAAGACAGTTCATTTCCTGCCTAGAATCCTGTTTAAAAACTTTTTACCCACCTAAAGTACACAGTAATCTTTACATTGGATACCAAGCTCAATGAAGTTTTTCAAAAGTCAATTATTTTTTTTCTATCTTGTAGAATTAACTGTTGTAGGATTAACTGCTATTCATATCATTCATTATGTAATTGCCAAGCTATGAATTATTGATATAGAATACACGTATTTACATAGTTGAGTATGTTCTTAGAGACTTATAGAAGATATATACTTTAAACATCTTGCTGCAACTATGAGTGCTGTGAAAAAGACAAACAGTGCAGGGAGCTGGGATGGCCTACAAGGAAGACAAGTTGACCTCATTGGGTAGTTTCCCAAAGTTTTCTGTGAGCAATTAACTCTTAAATAGAGATTAACACACACACACACACACACATTCTCTCTCTCTCTCTCTCTCTCTCTCTCTAGAGCAGAGGCACAAAAGGCTCATGGCAAGAGACCACTACACAGAGAAGTCCTGGAGCAGACAGCCCTGTGGGACTTTGAAGAGGACATAAAGAACAGAAACAGTGAGAGAGATGTAAGATCAGATGGGATGGATGTAGTTTTGCCTTTACCCTAGGAGTAAAGGGTTTAGGAACTGGTTTTAGAGACTGCTGTGGCCGGACCACAGGAACAACTACTAGAATACATCACTAGCTGCAGAAGAGTGGCTGAAGCAATCCAGGTTGGGGATGGGTGGGAGTTTATAGGTGCCTTGTCCAGATTTGCTAATCCTCTCAACCATGAAATAACTTTTTCTAGACCTGTTTTAATGACATTGAACTAAAAGGTTTTCAATGTATACTCTCTTTACTCACTTTTGATAATTTGCCATTTGTAATTCTGAAAGAGGAATAATATCAGATTTCTTTGCCCTTTCTTCCCTTTGCTGGCAACATAACCTTGATCACATGACTTGTATATGGACACAGGCAACGGCAGGGACTCTTGTGTGGTGATTAGCCACAGAATTATCCAGCATTAAGTGATCCAAGTAAACTAAGTTTTCTCCTCACATTTACCTTTTTAAAAATTATTTTTAGTTAGTTGACCAACTAACAGGTGTCCTCAGGGCAATTCACACATATTTGGGTGTTGTTGACCCCTCTCCTTCCAAAGCCCTTACTGCTTGTCTCTCTGCTCCTACCTCACTTAAATCCTCCACCCCAGAAGTCCCTCTTCCTCTTCATGTCATTGTGTTCTGCTGTACTTTCCCTTCACTTCCTAATACCTCTTCCCCTTTCCTCACATGGACTCATGGCCCCTTTCTAGATTTCTGACTGCTATACACACTCATTACCACATACATATACTAAAAATTATAAACTAAGATCTACATGTGAGGGTGACAGGTGGCATTTGTCTTTCTTGCTCTGAGTAACCTTATTTAATGCATTTTTTACTTCTACACATTTTCCTGAAATTTTTACTTTCTTTGTGGTTGAATAAAAGTCTACTGTGCACTTGAATGTCATTTTCATTTTCTATGTATCAGAGGAGAGGTAGCCAGACTGATTCCATTTCCCACCTCTTACAGAGCAGCAGTAAACAGGAATGTATAAGCTGTCTGTGAGGTTCATATAAAGCCCCCTGGGTACCTGCCAGGCAGTGGTACAACTGGGCCAAATGACAACTCTTTTTATATTTAGAGAATTCTCTGCACTGATTTACTTGGTGGCTGTACTGGTTCTACTCTGTCACCAACAATGGGCTCTTCTTTCCTACATCCCCATAAGCATTTGCTTGTTTTCTTGATGATAATCATTCTTACTAGGATGAGATGGAATCTCAAAGCAGTTTTAATTTGCATTTCTCTGATTAAATTGTTGAATTAGTTGTAAATGACTTATTGGCTGTTTGTACTTTTTAAAGAAATCTATTCACTACCTAAGTTCATTTTTGCTTGGGTCATGTGCTTTCTTGTTGGTCTGTTATTTTGAGTTCTTTGTATATTCCAGATACTAATCCCATGCCACCACAAGTATAGTTGTGAATATTTTTCTCCCATTGTGTAGCTGTAAGGCTGTCTCCTCACTTGGTTGTTTCCTTCACTGTATAGTTTTTTAATTTCATTAGGATGGGGGCCTATTTCCTGAGCAACTGGAGGACCATTGACAAAGTCCTTATCCATGCTCCTACCTGTTCCTTCTTTCTCTGACAGTTGACTTATTTTTATAAAGTTGAAAGTTTAAAAACAGTACTCGACAGTGAGTTAAAAATACTCAACAAGTTGCTTCCCCAATGCTGTGTCATACTATCATTTGAATACTTGTGTGTACCTTGTAATACTGAAATTACTAAAATGGTTTTATTTCTGTAAAATGTAAATAAAATCACTCCATGTGCATTTTGATTTTATAGAATGGAAAATAAGTTCAAATCTATGCTACTTTAGAATAATACTTTAGGCAGAGAAATATTCAAACATATACTCATTTGGATTTGTTAAATCATTAGGAAATTATGAAAAAAGTATATCAAATCTTGTGATTCCTAAGCAGCATCAAGAAAAACTATAGTAGTTCTTACAATCACTTTTCCTCACTCAACTCAGGCTAACAGCTTCTACAAAGATTAACTTTAAAAAGGTTTTTTTATTTATTGTTTGTGTATATGTGGGTGTCAGAGAACGACTTTCAGGAGTCAGTTCTCTGCTTCTCCCTTTATGTGGAATCTAGGGTAGAATTCATGCTTGTGTGGCAAGAGCCTTTACCAGATAAGCCATGTCCTCAGTGCTTAAATCATTAGTGTTTATAAAAAGGTACTTATGTTCAATTCTAAAAGCTGGCCCCAAATAATTATTATTTCATTTGTTCTCATACAACCTCGAAAATATTAGTAAAAAGCCTCTTACCTTTTGGTGGAAAATAGGATTTGCTTTCTGCTTTATGAGGCCAATCTACTACCAAAGGTCCAAATCTTCTGAAACTGGCAGTGATCTCATCTTAGGAAAGCAAAGAATGTGGACCACAAATTAGTTCTAATAATAATGTATTCAATATGAACCCTAGTATTTCATAGGCCACCTGAATACTAATGGCTTTGCAGTAGACCCATTCATATCTAGCATTGGGCTGAAACATGTCGTTATCATCAAGTTAACTAAAACAACTATTGGTATTTACAAGTGAAACCATGTTCATGTTAGGATAAGGTCTACTGAAAGAAGACTAGCTATGTTAGTAAAACATACCAATGCTAACATAAGGCAGGCAGTTTCATTGACATTCAAATATTGTATGTTCAATTTCAATGATATACTCTGTGTTAAGCTGATGAATATGCAGAATACATTTGCAGATACATGAACCATAGCTGAAAAAAATTCTCCAAATGCCAATTATATTTTCTCTGTAGGCTATTAATGAATGGGTGGATTTCCTATGACATTATAAGTATGGTTTAAATATTTTTTTAACTTTTACCTTAAGTTACTTTATTAACATCTGAATAGTACTAATTTTCTGTTTTATTTCTATTTCCTTATTGGATTTTGTACTGTATTTCTGTATCTTTAAGTAAATTGATAAATTTAAAAAAATTTAACTTTTGATTTTTTATACACTGCAGAGATTCATAGCTTGCTCCATTTATTGTACTGTATATGTCTGCATTCAAGTGTTGTGTATGTGTTACAGTCACACAAATATTGTCAAGTGTGTTCTGCATTAAACATTAAGATATGAACTAGAACATGGACATCTTTATAAACAGGCTCATAGTGATGATATGCATATGATAAAAACACTACAACTTAAAAGTATTTGTTCAAATACTTGTTGAAAACTTCAACAGCTCAAAAACTATTTCTTTTTACTATGTTTTGTTTTTAAGGCAGGATGACCTTACCTTCATCAATATCTGGAGGAAGCCCACCAACAAAAACTTTTCGAGAGAAGCGTTCTATTCGTTCTCCATTTTGATGAGCTGAATAACATGTGGGCGAATTTAAAACACCAACTTGATCACTGTGACCATCGTCCAACAAGCTATCATCTATTGGAAACAGGGAAGATCGACCTAAAATATAAGGACAAATATAAACTTAATCTCATATTAAAAATGATAAAACAAAGGCCAGCATACAGATGTCAAATTTAAAGTGTTAGAAACTAAGCTTACAGTGTCATAAAAAATGAATGGAAATAGACAGTACAATGCCAAGGTTCAAGAGTGAAGTGACTGCAAGTATGACCTAGAAATATACAGACATTGAGCTGAGGAAGTAGGTCAGGAACAGATGCTTGTCTAGCATAGATGAGCCTCCAAGTCCAATCCCCAGCAACAAAAGGAACAGAAGTAGTCACATGCAGTAACTATAGCACAAAAGAAACAAAAAATCTACTAGCTCATTTCAAATGTTTATGGCTAGCAGCAAGAGCCTAATATGTAGGAAACAGGTCTGAATACGTAACTAAATTCTTTAGAAACTGGTGGTAAAAAGGAAACAGCAGAAGTTAAATAGGTAAGAGGGCATACTGTAAGAAACAAAACAAGGCTGGGCCTTGGTGACACATGACTTTAATCCCAGCACTAGGGAGGCAGAGGCAGGCGGATCTCTGTGAGTGCAAACCCAGCCTGATCTACAGAGCAAGTGCCAGGATAGGCTCCAAAGCTACACAGAGAAACCCTGTCTTGAAAAACAAAGCAAAAAGAAACAAAACAAACAGAAAAACTCCAAGAAAGTACTTAAGATGCTACACTAAGCAGCAAGCCGTACTTGTCTATAAGGTCTTGAAATAATTGATCACATGTTATAATCAAATGACTGTGCAGAGGGGACTTAGGCATATGTGGACTTAGATATAGAACATCATCTTAGAACTTTAGTTCCTATTTGCGTTCACTCTTTAGGAGTGTATCCCTTTAGTGGGCATGTCTTATTCAGTCTTGTTAAGTAATACTCATGCCCTATATACTCACACAAAATAAAACGATCCAACAAAATATAGTACCCTTGCCCCCAAGAAATATATGTGCAGGGAAGGTAAGATCTATTCATGTAAGGATGCCATATATCTCTAAGAAAGCCTCAAAATGCTTCAAAGGAAGCAGACTAGAGGAAAGCAACAGTATTCTGAATACCATGGTAAGTTCTTGAATCCCTAAGGGTATTAGGTAACACTTTACCTCACTGAAACATGACAGACAGCATAAAAGGAAAGCCCTCAAAAGAAGACATTTTATTGAGTAGGTGGAAAAAAACAAAAACAAACAAAACATCTGGTTGCAGGAGCCCCAGGGGAAACAAACAAACAAACAAACAAACAAACAAAACGTAACTTCTTACGTCTGAGGGCTGAAGAAGACAAATGAACAGCAGAGATTAGGGAAAGCTCCAAACTACAAGGAAGGCAGGAAAACAAGGATGAGAAATGAAAGAGAAGCAATAATGGGAAAGGAGCCAAAGAAAGTCACATGTTGATTGAATATAAAGAAGTAAATGTCAGACAAAGGTACAAGGAAAACCACACAAAAAGCTACAAGTGCTGATTGGGTGCTCAGAACAGATGCACGGGAGAAGGTAGAAACAGAGTGGAAAAAAGAAATTGAACTTTCAAGTAAATAGCTTTCCAAGAAAATGATTAACAATTATTAGCGATGAAAATTTCAGAGAGCAATGAGGAGGGCAGTTTCTTGACAAACGCAGTAGGCATAGAATTTGCACCACAGGAAGGATGATAAAGTGAGAAACCCAAACAGAAGCATCAAAGAAAGGTCAGGTCAGGAGGGAAAAAGGAAAAGGAACAGTTAAGTAAAATGAGATGACAATTTCAAGAAATGAAAACTGTGCTCGAGAGTGTCCCGATATTTGACAGTAGCAATTTTCAAGAAGCTGGGTGGGTGTCACATGTAGTGATATGTTGTACTGTATATGCTTATTATAATACAGACATCAAATGAAGCCTAGTCTTCCTAAATATATTAGAGAAGGGAAAGGAGTAACAATGCAGACAAGATGTTCTTTGAAGATTAAATCAAGGATATATAGTTTTAGAATGAAGAGACAAGTGTACACTCTAATAACATTTATCTTAATCTAAAAATAAATTCTTAAATAAAATATGGTCAACATGATATGTGACCCATGATGTTGTGATATAAATAAAGAAAATTAGGAACATGGCATCTTATGGAGAATCGGATGGGGAAGAAGAGGTGAGCTACATACCTGTGACAATAAGCAAGTCAGTCTAAAATGGAGTCACCAGGGGAAAAATGTCACATCATGCTAAAGATTCTACCAAGCTGACTGAGTGAGTATGGAGAGTTAGAATAGCTTCCATGAACCCCTAAGCTAATGCTACACATCAGACAGATCTGAGACCTAGAGTAGACATCTCTCACTTTGCTGTTAACATGCCCACTGACACAGCAACAGGATAGGCCCATTAAGGAAAGCTAGTTTCTTCTGGTCAAGAAGATGGAATATCTGGCCTGGGTGGAGACCTAATTCTCCAATCTACCCCAAACATAAAAAAGTTAACCCAGTTGCAAAACCTGGGTGAATCCTTCAACCCAGGTGTATTTTACTTCAAGCCACACTAAAGCAACCGGTGGAATAACCAGCCTTTTAATGAGATAATACACTTGTCTTTCCAAGAACCTCTTCCCCCTAGTACTCCTTAAGCAGACTCAAAGGTAGCTAACTATTTTAGTTTTTCTTCTTTTCCCAATGCTCGCCAGACCCAAGTATGCTTTTTCTGGTACTTGGAGCTTCCTTACTCTGCAGCTTCTGTCCCCACTAAGTGCTGGTTCACGCCATGTGGCCTTAACTAAAGGTTCCGGCTATTTTCCTTCTCTCTACTTCTCTTCCTCTGGGTGGCTGCTGAGATTACAGATTACCTTCCCTGAGGGCTCCCTTTCAAACTGTAATGAAATTGTTGTCTTTGAATAAACTTTGCTTTGGCTTGACTTTCAATTTTTTTTTTTTTGCCTCTTAAATTTTTTAATCTTCAGACAAAACAAATGCATTCCTGCACCCCTACAAGGTACCACTCACTGCCTGACTATTATCACCAGTTACTTGACTTTCTTTAGTTTAGCCATATAAAGTCTTCCACACTGGAACATACCAATTGAGGCAATCTGAACCAGTGTTCCTGGGCTGTGGCCATACATATTTGGTTCCCAAATGAACTATCTCTTCTTTTTGAGGTAAGAACTGTGTTCCCTTTCAGACACTAACTAAATATATGTTGGATATAAGTTTATAAAAGGTATAGGCTCTAACAACAGGAAGAAAGAACCTACAGAAAACAGGAACTACTTCATGGATGTTTTCAATTGAAATAAGATGTTTTGTAAGAGACCCATGCTGAGTAATAATTTAAATTTCTAAATTTCCTCTGTTATCAGAAATAGGGGCCAATGAGAAATAAATGTCTATGTTTTCTTTGCAATCAATGGAAACAAATCTTCAACATGAAATTATAGGTCAAATATCCTTTCTCTGAAACACTTGGGCCAGGAATGGTTCTTGTTTTGCTATTTCTTAAAATTTGAACTTTCAGATAAAGGATAATCAACTTGCCTGATCCCTCCCTCCCTCCCTCCCTTCCAACCTCCCTCCCTTCCTCCCTCCCTTCCAACCTCCCTCTCTCCCTCCCAACCTTCTTCCCTTTCTTCCTTTCTTCATCCTTCCTTTTCCCCCCTCGATAAAATGATCACCAACAATATCCTTTAAAATTGGTAAGTTGTGAATTAATTGCTCAACTCATCTTACTTTAATTGAATAATTCTACATTTTAAAAAGAATAAAATGACTAGGGAAACAACTGCCTAGGATTTTAAGAAAATTAAAGTGACTAATCCAAATGCTGGACTGAATTTAGACATGCTAATATTTTGCACAGTGTCATTTTGAAGTATTTTATACAAAATTATCAGTTCATAAATACAATAAACAAAATTCTAAAAGTCTTCTGTCTTGGGAAAAAAACACAGATCACAAATACTTAGAATCTAAACAGGAATAAGAGGCAACAAGATTTTTCTGAACTATTACATGGTAAATGCACTGAAACATCAATCAGTAACTGAGTACTGTGCTTACTGTAACTATGCACATATTGTATAATCCATTAACTAAAGTGCAGCTGAACAAAGGATGCAACACAATGGCTTAAAAACATTTCATATACTAGCCACACTCATGAGAATCTTCACTTCTAGAAAATGATTGCTTTCTCTAAAAAAAAGAAAAAAAATAATAAAAACAGTGAATTTTAATATTTTCTTGAAAGAGTAAATAACAGAATATATCACTGGTTTAAAAATACAAGTACATGAAAAGATATTCCAAGTTTATGGTTATTAGGAAAATGCAAGCTGGATGCACAATGATGCTGGTACTAATTTTGATGGCCACATCTCCCTCCCCCATCTCATCCACCTGTGTGGACAGCATGTGTGTAGCACATACAAACATATGTCAGGGAAGTTGCACCCCAGATTTTAATTGATTTTTCATTTATTCTGGAATTTAAGAATAAACAATTCTGAACATATCAATAAGGAGATATGGGAGGGGAAATGTGTACAAATCAACCAATTTACAGATTGTCTCTAAGCAAGATTCTTAGATATTTATAGATTGTCCCATAACTTTATATTTACAGAATGTTGCTGTGAGATTTTAAAAATATGGAAGCACAGAAATTTAAAATTATTGGTAATCTGAATATTCTTCCTATCTTTTAGGATGGAAGCAGTAAATACCCTCCAGTGTAATGCAAGTTTTTTGTTTTTGTCTTTAAATTATGATGACAGTAGAGGTAGGTTTAGGATTGATTTCCCTTGAGTACCACCCAACAATGATTCACTTGTCTGGTATGTATCTCCAACGAAGAGAAAAACATTTACTACTTAATGTACAATGACTATTTGAAGATATTTTGCCCCAATATCTTTCTTACAGAAGATAAAGAGTCAAATAAATCAATTCTAAGCTAAGAGTTTACATCTTTTAAAACTTAACCACTAAGATATACTTGCCTTAAAATTAATTTCACTGGAATTTTGTTTTCTTTAAAAATTGGTGTGGTAGTGTACACCTTGAAGAACAGCCTCTTTGGGTCTGTAAATTGAGTTTTACAAGAAGTACACTCTGCTATTAACTACTCAGAGTTACCAAAGTGGGAAACAAGCAAACAAAACAAAAAACAGTAGATAATGCCAGTGCTGCTACCAAATCGAAGCACTGTTAAAACACAGGAGCTGCACCCAGCGTCATGGCCGGCTAATCCTGTATGCAGCTACTATATGGAATTTTTATGCTTCAGAGACTCTTGCCCTTTCTCTGATAACTATTATAATTACTTATCAAAGACGTGGGAAGGTAGGGCATGAATACAGTATATTTCATATCCCAGTTCAACTTTAAATAAGCAAAACTTTCTATATTAAACTCTTAGTAACTCTATATATAGTGGCATGTAAATCTAAATGGCTACACACTGTACATACCAAACTTCAGCAACTTCCAAAACTTTCTCTAAAATTATTTCTCCTATCTTCTCATTCCATATGCAACCTACCAACTTTGGGTTTAATTTCAAAAAAAAAAAAAAGTTGCTAGCTGAGGCTTAGTACATTAATTAAAATTATTCAAACTACCCTATATAATTTTTTTATTTTTTCTGGACAACAATAGTTATTTATTCCTCTATTAGAAGGAGGTATTGTCTTAGCACTTTGGCTGGCTTCCAGAAACCTATTCCTCATACTGGATTGCCTTGACCAGTCTTAATACAAGGAGAGGAGCTTAGTTGTACCTCAACTTGATATGCCATACTGTGTGGACACCCATGGGAGGCCTGCCACTTTCTGAACAGAAACAGGGGAGGACTGGATTGGGGGTAGAGGGAGGTGAGGGTAGGGAATGGGGGAGAGAAAGGAAGGGGAACTGCAGTCTCAATGTAAAAATAAATGAATAAATTTAATTAATAATAATAATGAGGGATTGTGACACAGAATAGAAAATTCTGAGTGACAGAGCTTAAATAGTCCTACACACCTCTTAGCACAATCCTGACCCTATTCCATCTCAGACCAGTTTGTTCATTCTCAGATGGGATGGAACAAATACTGAACAGAACAGCACTCTAAAAGAAAGCAGTTTTCCTGCTGTCAAGGAGCTTCCATGTGCCCTGCTCTTTCGGAATGCTGCAGAGCATTCCATGGCCCCAGGCTCCTGACATTCAGAGAGAGGAATCCTGGTTTTGCTCAATTGCTTTTGGTGTAATTATACTTTGATCATCTCTAAAGTTTATTTCATAAATCAATATCTACAGCCAGCTTGATTTAAAGTTCTTATTGACATTATTAAGGAACTGGAAATATATCAAAGGGATTTTGGCAATAATTTAGTTTAACTATAGTGAAGTGGGAAGTCTTTAAAATAAAAAGTGCTGCTCTATGCTGCACTGAAAGGTCAATCAAAGGTGGAAGGAAAGAAGACAGCTCTTTCTAGAATCAGCTGGCCACTGGAAGCCAGACTGCCTTCTGACATTTGATGCTGCCCCACCCCCACTGCACTGGTGCCAGTCAGGACTAGGTTTTGGCCATTTGTGCCAACTCATTTTGACACATGCCCCAGGAACAGAGAAGCTCTATTTATTCTAACAAAAGAAAGACCAAAATGAACACACACCATTTCACTACCCCATCAAATCCACAGCACAGTTCATAATAGGGGATTCCTGGTTGGCTAGGTTTGGAGAAGGGTACTGTGTCAGCATGAGGGGAAGATGAAGAGAAAATAGAAAAGATAGCCAGGCAAGCATCTCTACTCCTTTTTGAACTATTCTTCTGGTTTGCAGGCTTTTCTTATGAAATATTTCTATTACTTACCAAGCTAAGGTGCTGCCAAATTCAAATAAAATCTCACAGTAGTTAGATTTCAGGACTAAACCTTTCTCATCTGACTGAGCAAACTGGAATTGTAGCAACAGATTTATGTAACCCCTAGAGAACAACTACAACTCAACTACAACGGTGCTGTACAACCTGAGGAACAAGGCTGCACCTTCCACTGCACCAGCTGTGTGGAGAAGCTGCCAGTTCAGGACAAGGAAAGGGCATGGAGCCTTACACCTGCATGCCTAGGCAGCTCTGAAATGGAACACTTCTCTTTACAGCTCCCGAGGGAAGACACAGCTAGGCAGGTAACAAGTATCTATCTAAGCAGCAAGTAATTAAATGTTTTCCTTCTTTGTGTCACAATCTGCAGTTACTGATCTGAGATATAATAAGAAAATCATCAACTCTCATATCTTGCTCTTAAAAATTTCGAACATTATATTTATACCAGAGTATGCCCAACGGACTTAACACAAGTTACTGGGAACAGATAAATGGTTTCTGACATGAAAGGAATTCTGAACTTCTCCATCATTTTAAAATTACTGAAAAATCACAGATTGGTAAATAGTATTTTCAAGAGAATCACAGTTCCACACTTGACTGTGAAGTGAGCTGGGTCACAGATCTGAAAATAGGTATGAACACTGTAACCTCCCCATTCTCTTCTCAGTTCACTAATAACAGCCTTTAGAAAGTAACCCAGCCTCACTCTCTTCCAGGTTTTTACAAAAGTAAGAACCCAAAATTTCAGTCAAGTATTTGGAGAGTCAAGATTCCATCGATGAAGTTAAGCTGAAATGTGGAATCAGAACTACTTACTGCTTAATAACAGAAAGTACTAGCCTTGATTGTCAGTGGTGATAACTGGTTTTGCTTGTGTGTTTTGGGGGAATGTACTCATCAGCAGATGAGAACACTGCCACACACATGTAAATACAACCAAGGACACAGCTACCTATCACTGTCTATCTTTCCTTGGCTTCATGGAAATTCTAGAGAGAAGGGCAAATACTTTTTACTCAGTGTGCAGAACTGTAAAACATGAGGTACTGCCCACTACTCTACTCATGTAATTTTGCTTCTTCTTCTTAGGCTGGCTTCTCTCTCTTTCGATTTCTACACACAGAAAAGGGAGTTGCAAGTTTTCAGCCACAAAGGTTAGGTGTTCTGAGGGAGTTCAATAGTGGCACCATACCACAAAGCCTTGTCTCGTGGTCCCAGTAAGAATGCTCAAGGAAATTATGTTGTGACAGAGGAAGTGGGAAGGGACTGGTGTGCATGCTAGACAAAGGGGCTGAAAGGATCACAGCTTCACAGAAACATTAGCTACATGGTTTCTGTCAATGATGACAGTAATCTACTTACACAGGTGTCATTTCTAACTGAGTCGACAAAAATCATAATGATTGGTAACAATTGGTTATAGAGTAGAAAAATCACATCACATGTCACTCTGGTTAATACTAGAAAACTTATTTCTTAAAACAGATTAAAAACAGCCTTATTTTAGAAGATATAGATATAATTTTTAATAGGAGTTAAAAATTTGGACAGTTTAAGATGGACAAATTTTATTTAATAACTATTAGTATGAAAATATACCCTTGTAGGTTAAGAGTTAGAATTTGAAAGTTGGTAAGTGCTCACATCAATGTGTGATTCCTCTATGAGCTCTCAGACATTGCATAAAGAATTCTGAAATCAGTAATTATGACATTGATCAATATAGCCCAATTAGAAACAGATGAACTATAGCAAGCAGAAATGAATTACCTCGTCTTCGCCCATAACTCCTTGCTGCATGTAAACAAAGGACAAATTGTAGAATGTTAGAACTAAAAATAAGCCCACACATACAAATATCCGTGATATGAAAAGTTATGTGGGCATTTAGAAACTGTACTTTAAGACATTATGATAATGTCAGCACTTATAATTTGCATATTTTACCATTTACAAAGAACTTATACATACACATACATAAAGACATACATAAGATATATGTCAGATATACTTTTACAAATATTTCATACACATGCCATCTGAGTCAGCCAGAACTGTAAAATTTATTCTAATTCACATTTAAAACCCACAAGCACTTGTTTCACCTAATCATGATAGAAAGATGTAACAATTTACAGTTAGGTAGCTCCCAAATACCTTTCTCAATGAATGAATGAAGTTCCTATTTTTCTTATTTTGATAAAATGTTGTTTGGTATATATTGCCTAACACCTATGTAGAATCCATCTATGCTGTACCACGCCCTGATCAGGTAGTACCAGAAGATGTAGACTGTTAAAGAGAGTCATTATCACTGAGATACGACTCTAAGTCCTGTAATCAAAACTAAGCTCACACAGCTGCTTACAGAAAGAGTAAGAGACTGCTGCAAAGGACACAAATGATACTTGCTAGTCTCCTGACATATTTTATAAAAGCTACTGACTATGTGTCTGCCTCTGGGTGAAAGGAATTCTAATGTGAATTAAAATTACTACAAAGGCAGAATGATTAATGCTAGCAATATAAAGTAGAAATAATGTAAACTGGTTGTTTACATTATTCCCATGGATAATGTATGAATATGATTTCTCCTTCATAAGAAGTTACCAGTGTTGAGAAAATCTTTCCCTTCAAGCAGTGGACACAATTAGTGTTTCACCTGATAATTTATATGAAGCAAACAATAAACAAAATAAAATGAATGCTATAAGACTGAATGCTTATAGAGTGGGGAAGCAAGAAAAATTCAACATGAAAAAAACTCAATTTGCAATTCCTTAATTCTTAACAATTACATTAAACCTTCAAGTGATCAACGGGCCCTAAAACATTGCATAGCAACGTCTCAGGAGTTGCGTCTTTTACTTTTCCTTTGGTGGGCCAATAATACTTACTAATCAAGTTAAGTTTACTTTGGAGAATTTCAACAATGTTTCAGAGATCAAAGATTTATAAAGCAAACCAAACTATTTTCAAACTATAAATTGTGATGAAGTTGGAATGTGGCAAATATTTCCCGACCTAGTAACGCAACACCAATCCTGCTAATGTTCTTAACCTTTACACTCTCAGATGGGGCTATTCAATACTAAAGATAGTGAAAACACATAAGAATTTATAGCATCTTAAGTGTCATGCCATTCCTATGTTTGGACATAATCATTTAGAAAATTTTTCTCAATTATCTCCTATCACAGTAATTTCAGAATCCTTTGAAGAGTTACTCTACTTATTTTTTGGACAACCGTCAGGTTCAAAGTCTCTATTATCACTAAAACCAGAAGTGTGGCCAGTGTGATACTCAGTGGGCAAAGGCATTTGCCATGCAAGCAAATCCTGGGAACACAACCTGGAAGCACTCATCCTGACTTCCACAGGGACAATATGGCACACACATAGCCCCCACACCCTGACACTAGCATATGTGGTAGGAGGAGATGATTAAGTATAACAGAATAGACTACAATTAAAGCTAAACTGCAAAACATTTCCTACCCTATCGTGGAAATCACTATTTTGCTATCACTGTACTGAAAACGTTATGTCGTTCTATTGATGTTTCTATGTAGAGTTCTAGGGTCTGTTTTAGTGTAACTGCAGCAGAATAGTCAAGAATCTCTACCAAAAAGATAGTCACCATGAATATTGTGTTTTTAAAAAGCCTTCTTTGTATCTGAACCTCCAAATAAGAATAGTTTAAAGTAGGACAGGGCAATGATTTATTCTTGACTTCTATCAAATGACTGCAAAATGCCAGGTAGGATTACCAATGATCTTATTCAGGTTCTGGCCACGGTGACAATAAGGAAAGAGAACAATTTTACACTCTGTTTAGGGACTTTGTGTTCTTCCATACTGATTCTCAGATCTATAGCAAATTACTTCAGCTAAAAGGTAGCATAAGAAAAATACATAAAATCAGCTAGAAATACAGGTTAATGTTCTCTTGGTGAGAAGCTAAAGCAAGTATTTGTCCAACATAAAGCAAAACTAAAAAGAAAAATAGCTATGCTCCAAGTCATTTTCAAAACCCCCATTTTCATCCACCCCCTTCACTCTCCCTGGTTTCCTAGCTTCACAAATTGATACAGTAGATTTGGAGTATCTGTCTTTAGAAGTATAGGATCAATAACAGTCTTGTTTTAGCCCTACCTGGCCTCAAACTCATTATGTAGTTAAGAGTTATCATACACTCCTGATCCTCCTGCCTCTACCTCCCAGGTGCTAGGATGACAGGTGTGCTCCACCATGCCAAGCTTGGGTACATTTCCTTAGTGAAAAGATAGCTATAATTCATTTCACTCCCAAAATAAAACAAGCTCTTAATCACATAAGTGGTTGGGTATATGGTTTTTAAATGCAAATTTAAGTTGAAACTAGCTTGCTAATACATTTTCCCTCACCTGACACTTTGCTCTGTTGGTTCCCCTTTTGTGAAAAGGTACTAATTAAAATATGTTATTTTCGTCGGGGAAAGTGGGGAAAATACAATTCAATTCAAATAGAGACAAATACTTGACATATATAACATTACACTTTACTATTACAGAAAACACACAGATTTCTGGCATTGGCTTTAGTTTTTCTCCTGATATTATATTGCTAGTATTAGAAATGTAAACAAAGTATCATTCTAAATATCTAAAACTGGGTTTTAAACAGTCTACATCTGCATATAATGCAACTTTCTTTAAAAGCCGATGAACACTAAACATGGACACATGTGACTTATAACAGCAGCAGTCTCTACATCAAGTTCACTTGATTTCAAACTCATTTGAGGAACACAGTCTATTTAGAAACAGGAACATCTCTGTGGTTACAATTATACGGATTTTTGTTTTTGTTTCTTTCTTTTGAGACCAGGTCTCACTATGCAGCCCTGGCTAGATGTTGCTATATAGACCGGGCTGGTCTACAGCTGACAGATCTGCTTCTCTCTGGCTCCTGAGTGTCACAGTTAATGGACCCATGCTCCCACTTTATATGGCATTTTATGTTAAAAAATTTAGTCTACACAACTCCATGAGCCATGTGGGTGTGGTGCTGTATCCCATGTTAAGGGGTATCTGAGTAGCAGAAACTCAGTCATGAGTTTGGCAGCGGCTCTCCCTAGTGCTATGCTGTGTGATTACCCTCCTGTTTGGCTACGTACCACCAGATTTATTTAAACCTATATCTGAAAGTTTTAACTACAACTCCTAAGGAGGAATTAATTATAAGGCCTTTCTAATGTTAGTATATCTTATTGGCATTATATTACTATTATTTATATTGTACCATGTTTAGTTAAAGGCATTCAGATCTGATATCACTGATTTCTGTCAGCTATATGTATTGTCTCAAAAATGCTCTTAGCTGCAACAGATATGCATTTGTTTAATATATCTGTGCATTACTGAAATTTATTCTGTGTCCTCCACAGAAGGGTCCCTCACTACAGAAAACAGGGGACCCACACTTTCCCCATGTTTCTAATGTAGCTTCTTCCTATTGATTCCCTACAACAACATTATACACAACACCCTCGCAATAGCTGAAGACATCACTTAGATGGTCTCTTCCTCTTATGCTATCTGAAATAATTGCCCAGTTTCTTGTCTGATTTTCACTCCTGATGATCTTTTGCATGGATTTCCATCACTCACTCTCCCCAGCTAATAGTTATTCACAGAAGCTGTTCTAAATACGTGCATGAATTCACTCACTCTTCTCAATAATCCCCTGCGGCAAGCAGTGTGCTCTGGTTTAGATATTAAGAAATGAAGTCAGAGTCAAGTTAGGTATGCTGTTCCAGGTTGTACAGAAGGCAAGGTAGCCTTAGAATCTGGGATGCCACCCACAAAACATGATGATGCAAAATGTACTACCAAATATTTATCTTTAAAGTGAACAGTATCAGCTATTCTAACAATAATAATAAGTAATGGTGAAGCAACTTACTTAACCAACTTCCCTACAGTGAGTTCAATCTATGACATAAGATGCTGCACTCCATCAGTCAGTAATATTTAATAGCTATTTAATATAGGAAGAGCCTTGCACTAATAGCATTTAATTCCCTGGTTTCCAGGGAACATAAATTCTAAGAATATAGCTAAACTGCATTTGTTAAAGAAAATTGCCCCTTACCAAGTGCTGTTATCTGACTTTATTCAGTATCCTTGATGTCTCACTCTTTAAGACTTCCTCACCCCACCGATGTACCCAATTAAGTGACTGTTGTTTCACCTCTTAGCTGTTTGTGCCCAGGGAATAAAAAAGGACATGCTTCTCTTTGGAGCAAATCTCTTGTCCTGACCTGAGTACATTTTGATGTCCTAGAGTCATTACTTACTTCTTCCTTCCCTAGTCCCTTGCTAAAAATGTTCAAAATTCCCAGACTGTCTTTCTTCATCGAGTAAGCGCTATGTCCTCAAATGCAGACAATTAAGGGTGCTCATATTTAAAAAATATAATAATATATTTTTTCTAGATGTAACCTGCCTGAAATAAAACATTCTCATATCTTCTTTATGAAGAAGCATAATTCAGTCAATATTTATAGGACTTTAGGCAATTTACAAAAGTAACTGATTAATAGACTAATGTAACAACAATATAAGCTGCAAAACTATTGTGCCTTTTCAAGTTCCTTGCTTATATGACTGCTATTCTATCGTAATCATCTGGGCTACTATCCAATCAACAATGTCAGGTGAACTGTGGATAATACATAACTCATATTTTTCAGGGTACCTTTTTCAAATGTATTCTGATACATGAAAAATGGGAATTTTCAGTGAATTTTTCAGATGTTAAGATAAATAAGTAATTTATCTTTATTTCCCACATAGAATATTTAAGGAAAGTGAATCCATATATGGTTTATTGTTACCTAAGCCTATCATATTTTACACATCAAATGGACAGAACATTAACAATAAGCTATTTTTTATTTTAAAAGCATCATGTTAGTCATAGACTGAGAACCAAAGACTGGAATAAAGAGGTCCTTGATAACATCTTTCAACTCAAAGTCTCAGTTTGGCAGCTCAGTGCATCATACTCAGACTGTGATCAGCCCATCACCTACCCTATCACTGTGCCTCAATATTTTCTCTCATTCCAAAATCCTGTCTCATCTGACAGTCCTTGGGCCACAGGCTTCCTTTCTACCCTCCTGTCTTTGTAGTCATCATCCACATGGCCTAACTTCACAGTGACCCCATGTTCATATTTGCTTACACACCTTCATTATATCTTATTTCAAAAAAGTTTTAAATGAAAAAGTCCCCAGCCAACATAATGATGTCATTTTAAGCATATATTATTTATAAGTGTTTACTTTCCTTGCCTCTAATTCAAAATTACTCCTGAAAAGGACTCTCTCCCTCATCTCCACTCCTATGATCATGTTTATATTATATTCTATGACTATAAATATATTTATATTTGTCCAAAGTGAAGAAAAATGGTTTAATCAATGTTTTTCTTTTCTGACTGTTAATCTTCTAATTGGAAAGTTAGAATAAGTTAAATCAGTGTGATTCTACATTTATAAATTCACCAATACATTCCTTGAAACAAATACAAGTGCTTACACTGTGTACAAGGGTCTACGTACTTTGCAAACTTTATCTTATTTAATAGATTTAGAAGATATATATCTTTACTTTATCTCAAGTTTACAGAGTGGGAAATAGGAAACTAAGAACAAACTTTGTCTTAGATCACAGCTTGAGACAGAACCCCAATATCCAAACAAGGATTGCTCCTGAGGTTGAGGTGGCTGAAATATATCACCACAAATGCACTTCACAATGACAATTTTTCTCAGGAACAACACATACAGACCCCTAATTCCTGCAGCTTCGCTTCATGTTTTTAAAAGTTGGGCTTTCACTCTGCTGCCCAGGATGATCTGTATCTGATGGGTCAAGTGATGCTCATTCCAGTTTCCCACTGAGCTGGAGCTACAGTTGAGTTCAGCTATGCTTGAACACTGCTTTATTTAACAAGATGATTAAACTATCTATATGAGGGAAGGTTCAGGGGAATACATATTTAAAAATCATCTTCATTTGCATGAGCCAAATGGAAACATAACATGTTAGGCAAAACTTACCATTTAACATCAACAGATTGTCAGTTCCTGGATGTGGATAGCTCAAACGACCTTGAAAAAAACAGAGAAAGAAGAATTTAAAGACCATGAAGCTATCTGAGAAGAAAAAAAGGGTAGTGGTAAGTAGGATAAGGAAGAAAATATTAAGCACTGTATAGTTTTTAAAACTAAAAGGCTAATCTTTAACTCAAAGAATATTAGCTTTGAAACCTGAAAATAAAATGAAAAAGTTCATTGTAGTCCCATGCCATCAGATCACAATGTGATTTGAGAGCAACTAAAACTACATTTATTTCTATCTGAATTGTGCTCTGGTTCTGAAAACATAATACATGGATTTTTTTTTAATGTACTCAAATAGATTGAATTTTTCTCTAGATTTTTGCTGTCAAAACTTCAACAAAATGGATTTAATTTTGAAATGAAGAATAACTAAAAGTTTAAAAGGAAAAAACAAGAACAAACCTAATTTTTTAAATTTAATTCAATGGCAGTTTTTAAACTGTCAATGTGGTTTTATACTGTCATGTTAATAAAGAAATTCAAAGATATCCTAGGCTATTATTACAAATATATTATGAGTACTTCATTTAGAGTTTAAAAATTGTTTATGAAGAAAAAAGTGAAAACACTAAGGCTTATGAAAACAGTAACAAAATGTTTGCTCTATGCTGCTCTTCTTGAAGACTTTGTATTTATAAAATTTGGAGACAACAGTATTATATATATGCTACAAAGTTTGTATGCTGAAAACACGATGTAACTCAGCTATGGTTTGCACAACGGAATATTTGCTTGGCTACTGCCAACAGCAAGGATAACCATTATTGCCGCTCATTGACAGACAGGAATGTTTTCTGATGTCTGACTCTCTGATACTTTATTTTTAAGGCTACATTTAAATTTAGTACTAGGATTGCATTCAAGGCACCTTCTGTATAGCTTTTCTTTAAAATGACCATAATCCTCCATAAAATTCACTACATCAGAAGGATGAGCATGCATATGCACATACAAATGATTTAGAGATTTACAGATAAATACGTACAATATGATCTCTGGCATATCTTGATTTCTGAATCAATATAGTTAAGAAAAGTAAGTGATTGTCCCTTAAAAGGACATTTTACTTTTTTTACTCCCAAGTTTCAAGAATGAAGACATTAGTTACCAAAATGAGCTTCCATAGCCCCAAAACATACAATTATGTCTACTCCTCTGGGAAGTAGGAATCAGGAAAATATATGCAGAAGGTACAAAACAGAAAGACCTAGGAAATATAGCTCTTTTCCCTTTTAAGAAAATTTTTGGAAATTTACGAGACCTCCTGTAGTAGTAGTTCAGTACTTATCCCTAGCATAGTTATGGACTTTGGGAGCCCAATCCACATACAGGGATACTCCCTGAGCCAAGACACATGGGGGTGGGTGGGCCTAGGCCCTATCCCAAAGGATATGGTAGACTCTGATGACGCCCCCATGAAGGGCCTCACCTTCCCTGGGGATCAGAAAGGATATGTGATAGGTGGGGTTTTAGTTAAGGGAGGACGGTAGGAGAGGAGGGCAGGGAGAGGGAACTAGGATTGACATGTAAAACAATCCTGTTTCTAATTCAAATAAAAAAAAAAAGAAAAAAAAAATTCATTAATTTTCTTTTTTTTATTTTTTTAGAAATAATCTTATTTTACATATCAATCCCCCATTCCCTCGCCCTCCCATCCTTCCATGCCCCCCACTGACCCTCCCAACCCACCCACTAACCACTCCCCAGGAGTAGTGAGGCCTTCCACAAGGATCAAAATAGATCATCAAAGTCTGTCACATCATTTGGGCCTAGGCCCTCTTGCCTATATTTGGGCTGCAATAGTATCCCTCCATAGAGAATGGGCTCTCAAAGTGCATTTGTGCACTAGGGCTAAACACTGGTTCCACTGTTAGAAGTCCCATAGACTGCCCAAGCCTCTTAGCTGGCACCCACATTCAGAAGGCTTGGTTTGGTCCAATGCTGGTTCCCCAGCTTTACCACTAGGGTTCTGTGCTCTCACTAGGTCAGGCCAACTGTTTCTGAGGGTTTCTACAGCATGATCTTGTCTCCTTTGCTCATCCCTCCTCCCTCTCTACAACTGGATTCCAGGAGTATGGCTCAGTGTTCAGAAGCAGGCACCCGCAGAAATACAGCTTTTTAAATTGCATTTTAGTAACAAGTCACAAAACTTTAACTGGGAAATTGGGACTTTTCTAACATTTTATTGCAGCTGAGCAAATTTAAAGAATAATTTACATCCATCAAAAATTGCAGATTTTCTGACATGATATTTAAAACACCAAATTTCTTCAAGTGGTAATCTATATTACTGTTGAGTACTTTTTTCCTAATAGAATATAGCACACAAAAGGCATAAACAAAAAATAAGACAAGTCTTCCTTCCCTATGGTGTAGTCAAAGGGACATAAACACTATACTTCAGTAACATCTGCCCACTGCTGTAAGTATCATGTATTTCCAGTATCTCACAAAACAAAACACAAAAGAGTACTTAGCTAAACCCAGGCATGCAGGCCTACATGCTAGAATGTTACATTATGTAAGCAGAGCCTTTGTCCTGAGGTCTTGCCCCATCTTAAAGGCAGATAACTTTACATCAACAATTTATTCTCTAATAGGTTCACTATTCCTTTTGACTGCAAAACGGTCTTTTATACATCTTGGCACTTAAATGGACTTTAAAAGGCAACAGAAGCCAGGCGTTGTTGGTGCACACCTTTAATCCCAGCACTCAGGAGGCAGAGGCAGGTGGATCTCTGAGTTTGAGGCCAGCCTGGTATCCAGAGTGAGTGGCAGGATAGGCTCCAAAGCCTCACAGAGAAACCCTGGCTCGGGGGAAAAAAAAAAAAGGCAACAGAAAAAACTTATTTATGAATATACATTTGAATATATGTACTAAACATACATTTGAATATACATTTTAATATATGTACTAAAATATTACAGCTCATCACAAAAATAAATCAATGTAATAAAATACTGCACAATTAAATGGTGAAAATGTTAATATAAATTAGTAAGTTAATTTTCACAGTTATGTTTTACTTAAATCAAAGCCGCTTTTACTAAGAACCTGCCAGCTGAAAGTAATGATGGGTTTACTTTATGTGGGTTCATTATATGCAAATAATCTGTGGGTTCATTATATGCAAAGGGCTTTTATAGGTTCTCGACTGCCAATTATTTACTCATATTAACAATACCTTGAATTTGATACTATTTTTTTCCATTTTAATGTGAGAATACTTTATCATAAGAAGGGTTAGGTCACTTGCCTGAGGTTTTATCAACAGCAGGAATGACTGACAGCATGGGAACCTGACTGACTTAATTCTCTTACATATTGCCTTGATACTGACTCCCTATAGATAACAGGATATAGGAAAAGGCATGCATACATGGCTGTGGAATACTTAAACTTGAATAGAAAAGTGTGTAAAAGAACACATGGGTATAAAACTAATTCCTCGATTAGTCTAAAAGCCTGGTGGTGCATAAACTGACACTAATACGTACCTATCAACAAAAACACTCCAATTTCTCTTACAAAAGAAAAGGCTCAGAACATAAAAAAAAAATCATTTCTCGGTTTTTATCATACTGTGTAAGTTATGGCCAGAGGATAAAAGATAAAAGTGGTATGTACAGTTTTTGGAAAATATACTTTTAAAAGGAAAGACTTCCTTTTGTTCTGCTTGCTGAGATGCAGGGGGGTGGCTAAACTAATGAAGTTTTAGGCTCCAGGAGGCAGAAACAGGATTTTCCAGATAGCAGAAAAGTGAAAAGGAACTGTTCTATTGATGTAAAGAGACACCATGACCATGCACCTCTTATAAAAGGTAGCATTTAACTGGGAGCTTGCTTATAGTTTCAGAAGGTCAGTTCATTATCATCTTGGTAGGGAGCATGGAGGTACACAGGCACAATGCTGGAGAAGTGGCTATGAGCTACTTTCTGATAAGCAGGAAGAAAGGAGGCACTAGGCCTGGTGTGGGCTTTTGAAACCTCAAAGTCCACTCCCAGTGACACACCTCCTCCAGGACCACACAAGGTTTAACAAGTCTATCAACTGGTGACAAAGTATTCAAACATATGAGCCTGCAGGGGTCATTCTCATCAAACCACCATATTCTATGTGCTCCACTCTACAAAAGGAACCTCCATCTCCCTGAAGTTGAGTTTCATGGTAACCCAATGGATCTAAGCTTACAAAGTCTTGAGGCAAGTCATTCCTTGTAATTGTAAGCAAGTTTGGGGAATGAGCATTTCACAAAGATTTTTTTTTTTTTTTTTTTTTTTTTTTTTTTTTTTTTTTTTTTTGGAAACCAGGCTGGCCTAGAACTCACAGAGATCTGCCTCCCTCTCCCTCCTGAGTACTGGGATTAAAGGGGTGTGCCACCAATGCCCAGCCCACAAAGACTTATAATACATCCATAATGAATATGTGCTACTTCTAGGCAATTCTCTTTTAGCATTAACATGGGGCTTACTAGGTAAAGATGCTTGCTGCCAAGACTGAGGACCTGAGTTGACCCCTATGACCATTACGATGAAAGGAGGGAACCAACTTTCACAAGTGGTTCTGTTTTCCAAATGTGTACATGCATGCACAAACACAAATAAAAACTGTAAAAAATGACAATATTAAGTATTTTAAAATATTTTTAAGAATGTGTATTTTTTAATTTTTAAGTGTCTATGAAAAGCTAGAGGACTAATAGTATCTCTAAATCATTTTTTTAGTCTATTACATTTTTAGATAATGATTTGTACACACATACACACACACACACACACACACACACACACACACACACACACACACACAAGTCTTAGTTCATGTTAGCCATTTAAATGTATATTGAGCAACTGGTTACACTAGGAACAGGACAACTGAAAACAAGCTATCTCCTGTTTGGACAAAGTATCAGAATACATTATAATAAGCAGTTGGTGCCTCATCTTCTACAGAGTCTACTTTGGTCTTTTTGCTGTTTCTCTCATGT